AGCTAAAAAACTTTCCAAAAGTGTTATAAGTTCCAATCGCAACAAAAATGCAATGCACTATGTTGCAGATCTGGTCTGGAAAATGGTGTGAACCCAGCCTCAGTGATAACGGTCAACAGGACCAACAGGGAGGGTGAATCAGGGAGCATGGGGACACAGAGAGCAATAAAAACCTGACAGGTGTTCTAATTCCTCTCCACTCTTGATGCCCAGACACTATGCCGAGACTACAGGCATAGTACATAAGAGCACTAAACAAAGCTTGGCTTCTCAGCCTGTGTGCTTTCAGCACTAACACAGCAGCTGCTATTATCCAAAGAAGGTACTTTTCCTCCCAATTGTAAGAACACTGAACCTCAGACTAGATAACCAACAATGCAGCACTGGGGCGATGTAACCAGTTTTCCAGTAAATACACCAGTTTATATGCAAGTTAAAGGTCATAAAAATCTCAGAGGAGATTACTCAGTCTGTTTTTAGTGATGTTGTTACCTTGTGCCACATTTCTCATATGCGAGTGATCCTACTATGTCGTTTAGTTGATAAGATTTCATAAAAACAAGCCAATTCTGCCTGACCTATTTGATCTATTTGATTATATAAAACATTGTGCTAGATTTTCCTTTTAATTTAATGTTTTTCCTTGGTGGTTGTAGAATTTGCTTCTCATTCCAGACAAGACACACTCGGTATTTGTTCCATTGTTTTGGTCCATGTCTACGTGTAGTACTGGGGGTTTATAAGGATAAATAGCATTAGGAAGCACCTGGCATTTTTGTACTTGTAACCTTGGCTAGTGGTTAATGATTTGCTCTCTGCTACAAATCTTACTTTGGATACCTGGCTATTAATCTACACCGAGCTATTAAATACAGGAACAAACAATCTGATTCCAATGAGTGACATTAAAAATAACGATATTTAATCTTTTTCAAGGACAGAACAAATTAATTAAAGCCACTTAAATTTTGTTGAAGAATACAGTTTCTGAGAAGAGTGTTCGCAGGCTTTGATACATTGACAAACACAACAGAACCATCGAGGTGTCACCCCTAGTTCATGGAGGTGCTGCAACAGCTAGTTTCTGAGTAGTCTGGACTATTCTGTGCGTGACTTCATGTACAAAGGAAACTCTGGTTCAGGACTGGTTTTGCTAAATAACCCCCCATCTCTCCTAACTGAAGCTCCATACCTTTTGTATGAGCTCTGACAGTTTGAAAATGAGCAGAAGCCTGAGCTTCGCAGCTGTGATCGAGTGATAACAATTGCAATGTTGCCAGGCTTGAAAGCAAATATTAAAGAAATGCATATTTTTTTATATATTATTAATTATGCATTTCTTTAATTTCTTCTTAAAAGGTGAAGTTATACTTTAAAGATAGGAATGCAGTTGAACCTGCAGCTCCACAAGAACATGTTATGTTTGACATTGGCTGTAAATGAGAGTGAAATCCAAGCCAGCCTGCAGCATGAAAGTGATAATATTATTTTGGTGAACCTGTAGGAGCTGGTGTAGCAACAGTGATATCCATTAATACTAGGGATGCACTGATACAGGTATTGGTGCCGATACTGGGCACTTTCACGAGTACTCTTACTCATAAAAATGCCCTGATACAAAGTGCAGATACTGGCGCTTTACGTTTTTAGACAGGAGTGGCTGTCTGAGGTCCCACGCTTGCTTGGGACCTCGCGGCGGCTGTCTTTTACAATGACGGTCCAGCCGCACATTTCCTCTTGCTCTTTCCCCCCGTCCGAGCAGCCGTGGTGACATTGTGCAGCCTTGGAGAGTCTGCACACCGCCCTGTATAATTGCTCCATAATCATGGATTGCTGAGATTTGTAGTCCTCTATAGCTAGTTGCCATTCTCTATTGCTGTATAATCAATGATCTGTAGTCCACCTTTGCTGGTTGCCATTCTCCATTGCTGGATAATCATGGATTGAGTTACAGTTCTTCATATTTATAAAGAAACTGCCCTAAAATCATTAGTCTGTAATGTTTTAGGAAAAATGTCACATGTCCCTTTAAAAAAAAGTATTGGTAGCTGGTATTGGCAAGTACCCGAGGGAAAGTACTTGTACTTGGTCTTGAAAAAATTGTATCGGGAGATCCCTAGTCTGTATTGTGTTAGAAAAACTGTCACATGACACTAACAAAAAAAAAGTATCTTTAATTGGTATCGGCGAGTACCTGAGGAAAAGTATCGGTATTTTTACGCCGAAAAAAATGGTATCGGTGCATCCCTAAATAATAAAAAAGGTTTTTCTGTTGCAGACGGTGGAAAAATAATAAGAATGTGTGTATTCATACTGTTGAATAGGGTGGACTTTATTTTATGATTTCTGTACAAGCCTGATATTTTCACACTCTAACTTCACAAGTCTAACTTAAGATCGGACGCGTAGGAAAACATGGCCTGCGTTCCCGTCCAGCGCAAATGCAGAAAAATGCTGCATGCAGAGCTGCAGCTAGAAGGGATTCCAACAATATTGTCGGGATCCAACACGCTATCTGATTGACAGCTGGCTCTGCCTATCTAGAGCAGAGCCAGCTGTCTGTCCCTCCAGTCACTGGAGAAACGGAAAGGGGGAATCTCTGCAGGGAGCGGTAACTGAAATTCACCAGTTTCTGCAGGGAGAAGATCATGAACTGAGCAATCGGTTCTCGATCTATAGAGCCAACGTGTGACACCTGCAGTCTCACATGTCGGCTCTAACTATCGGGATGCGTGTAATTCACTCATCCCCTATTTCTTCTTTAAATGTAAACAATTTTACAAGGAAATCAGACATTTTCATAATAGCTTGCGTTTTTCACTGCCAATATTGCGGGTCATGACGTGCCGCCCAGTTTCCTGATTGACTAGCACTTATTGCAGGGCAGCCTGGCTTCCTGACTTACTGAATCTGTCAGGCTGCCTAGCAGTAAGTGAAGCCGGCTTCCTAACCAATCAGGAATCTGGGAGGTGGGTCATAATCCGCCGTCTGGCTTCCTGTTTGGCCTAGAAGCTGGCTCCATGCTCGCGGCACTGCCGGTCAGTGGGAGATCTCACTCTGACTAGAAGTTCTGGTATCTGGGGTAAGTATCAGAGCATTTGGACTAGTATTGGTATCGGTGCATCCCTACTTCTAACATTAAAATATCTCCAAACCCTAATTTGAATGGTGTCTCACACAACTCACCCCATACTGCTGCTGCTGTGTTGCTGCAAAAAAAGTTATAATGTACAGTCTGAACAATCACTAGGTGAAGGAAGACAAAGTGTCTTTCTCAGAATTTTTCCTTTTAGGCCCCTTTCACATGGCTGGGCCGATCACGTCCACTTGTCAGTTTTTCAGGCGGACCCGATCGGATGCCCATTGCAAGTCTATGGACAGCCATGTGTAAACGGATGAGCATCCGTTTACATCCAGTTACCCCCGCCTCTGGCCGGGTCCAAAGAAGCAGACGGATCAGGGATCCATTTCGTCCGACTGGATCGTGCCGGATCGGGGTTAATCTGGTGTAAACGGTCACATGTCTGTTTACAGTATTTTTCTGTCTATAAGACGCCCCCATGTATAGGACGCCCCCCACTTTTCTTAACCAAAATTCAGACCCCATTTTTTTTGCGCCCCCCCCCCCCCCCACCCTTTTCTTACCCAAAATTCAGAAATCAATATTTTCACTCTTCCTGTCGGTGTCTTGTTCGTGTTCTCATGGCCAACCCTTCTCTCCTCATGAAATTGAAGCACCATTTTGCCTTTCCTGTAAAATCAACAATCTTCATTTTGCTTGGAAACATTCTTGCATGACATTGAATAAGTTTAGTTGACATACATAAGCCACTCTGGCGCTGCTCCAAAATCCAAGTTTTGCCATTTTGCTGGTTTTCCTCTCAAGGCCTTCTTCTTTATTGGCATCTTAAGGAGTTGTTCTTCCTGTTTTCTCCAGTGTCCAGTGATAATACACTCCAGTGGGAGGAGGTCCAAACTGTCTCTTCACCTTTTATTTCCATGCTCTTTTGCATAACTGATTACATCCAGTTTAAATTTTGCAGAGTAAGACAGGCATTTACTGGTATTGTTTTGACATTTTTATGGGCTCAGAATGCTCCGGCATTACCGCTCCCTGTCGCATCTGGGCACTGGCTACACACTCTCCGCAGCATCAGCTGACGTTCGGGTACATAAGGCTCATGATTGGAGGAAACCTGTTAGCCTGTCTCTGCAATCGGAAGTTTCACTTGTGAGGCTAGTTTGCAGAGGTGTCGGCAGTTTCGCAACTAGGGTTCTCCTCTTGGCCCCCCGTGTATAAGACACCCCTCCATTTTTAGTTAAATATTTTTAAGAAAAAAGTATTGTCTTATTCATGGAAAAATATGGTACATCAGATTTTCCATAGACCAACATGAGGTCCGGCAGTTTCAGTTTTTTCATCAGAAGGTGGAGGAAAAAACTGTATGGGCACGGATGTCACAGCAGTGACATCCGCTCTGTACTATGATCAGGAGAGGATCCATGCACGGATCCTCTCCTGATCAGCCCGTGTGAAAGGGGCCTCAGTCTACATGTACAGTATAAGAGATAGTCAACAGCACACCAGAAAAAAAAGGTACATTTTCCTGGGTACTTCCTATGCACACTTAACATACCTAGATGTTCACTATAACATTGCAAATCTTAACTTTTTTTTCTGTTGGGAGCTGTGAAGACATGAACTCACAGCTAGTTACTGCTCACCTAACAAAGCAGTGTTAAAAAAAAAATATAGCATTGTCATAAGAATCTGTTTTCTTCTGCTACTTGCTGGCCGATTGAATCACTATGCTGTGCCTGACTACAATTTGCTCCAGTCATGATCATAAATAGTTCATATGGCTTTTCATTGTTGATAGTAAACACTTTGCCTTTGTAAAGACATGTCTGTAGTAAACATATGACATATAATACATGTATAATTACATCTGGTATTTGTAATGCCCAAATAATTCTTCATTTTGAATACTCTTCCCCAGGGAGCTTCAAAGCGGCAGCGTGGGGAACCATTTTAAAACGCTACTCTGAAAATGAGAAGAATTGCTTTGAGCTGCTGATGAATGACGTTCTGGCCTCCTGCGTTCCCACCTACCACGGAGTGACGGAGAGAGATGAAGAAAGTTACATTCAGTTAGATGACCTTCTGAACAACTTTGATGAGCCATGTGTTATGGACTGTAAAATGGGGGTCAGGTGGGAGCCTATTAAAGCCTTCTTCACTTCTGCTAGCTGCCTGTTCTTTTGATGCATGTCTGGCTAATTCCTAATATGTATATTTATTAGCTTTTCTAGCGTATCCTTTCTCTACCCACACAATGACAATTTAAAGGTGTGTGTGTGTGTGTGTGTGTGTGTAGAAGTGTCACTAAATATTGCAGAGCAAGGCCACAAATAATCCATTTTAGACATGATCACCTTAGCAAGTGCAGTTAAGGGAAGAAAGTTGGCTATTTATTCATGTACTTTACAATGATGTAATGTTCACACTTGTTAATTGACAACATGATTAAACTTCACTTTTAAGATATCTTACTTCTCAGTCAGCGCTCCTATAAAGGTTTTGACGGAAACGACAAATTAAACATACATGAATATCTAGTTCAGTCTAATGTTTGGTACAAGTGTCCAATTCTGTTAACTTGGAGTGACTGTTGATACCAGATAAAAGTTGAAGAAATAGTATCTATTAAAGGAAACTTGTTACCTGGCATAGCCAAGATCCTCATTCGGTCCTGAAGGCTACTATTGCCTACCAGAAATAGGGGTAGTTGAGACACCAGCATTGCAATGCCCATGATTCTGCTATGATCCTAGCACCACTTCCAGGACTTGGCCAGTGGCAGTGCAGTATGGAAGGCTGTGAGAGCTAACCGTTATCCTGGCAAGTATTCAGGTATGATATTGTTTCATATGATAGTCTGGATGAACCCAAACTCTTTCACCAGTCATAAGGCACAATTCAAAAAGTTAACATACTAGTACAAGGATCCTTATTTTAAAAAGTGCAGTTTCTTTCAGCTAATACGTGAAATAAGATTTAAACTTACAGACGTGGTTGAAACAAAATAACCTTTGAGAACAAAACAAACTTTGAGAATTGTCATTGTTGCATTCTGATATGAAATTTTCAAAAGGGCACAGTTCTATATTTTTTCCTTGTTTTATTGCGCATTTGCTTTCTGTTCTTAGTTTGTTTGTTTTTTGTAGCATCTGACAGGATATTCCTTAGTGTAATATAATAGTTTCTGAGGAATAGAAACTCAGATTACACATACTGTGTACCAGAAACATTTTGACTTTTTAGTGTAAATGTTTAGACTTTAAGACAATATTTGCTGTTTAGTAAAATTTTTTTATTGTTTTTATAACTTTTCTTGTGCTAACAGTGGGGCTTCCCTATAAAACTGAATCGATAAGTAAGGTAGATTCCCCTGGCATCTAATTAGGTTTCCCCTTCCCCATTTTTACCTGCCCTGGGATGAGTAAAAATGGAATTTAATTGGTTGTCGTGGGCAATGCTTTCACTCTTATTTCCTTGTCTTTAGAAATCTGCCTCGTTATCTCTAGCAATTTGTATTCTAGAGAGCAACATGTGCTATGCTGCTCCATGGAGAATAATGTCCGGGCTCTTTTTGTAGCCCTACACATGCCCTTGGACAGCTGTTAGGCAATAGAAGCTCTAGCTGCACACCAAATGGTACCAGTGACCTAGGTTTAGCAGCGAGGATGCTGTAGTTTGAACAGTGAAGTGCATATCGTCATACAGGGACTGTACAGACTGATACCAGGCCAAATTCAGCTATTTAGACTGCTTGCATTTTAAATTAAACTAAATTTAAAGATGTACATGAATGGGGAGAAGCCTCTGTACTGAGTGCTACTACCCATTCAGAAACTCATGAATGAACAGGAAAGTGATGTAAAGCACTTCCTGTTCATTCATAACAGGGGACACATAGTACTATGTGTCCCCAGTTATTTATAAACACTGGAGTAATCAGCTGATCGCTCCAGTGTTTGCTCTGCACAGAGGATTGGTACATATCACTGATACGTACCGATCCTCCGCCGCTCGGCCACGCACAGAGCACAGCCTGCAGCTTTTCTGCTGGATCCCCGCTGCTTTCCCCCGCCTGTATGGGCAGAGGCAGCAGGGATCGGAGGAGAAGTAAAGGAAGTGCTGAAGCTGCCAGTCAACAAGGATTAGTGGACGAAGTGCACACTAACATACAGTTAGTGGCTAGGATGCCAAGTACAGGTTTAAATGCTGCCAAGAAAGTAAGTCTGGGTTATTTTTAGGGATTTAACGTTAAAACAATACAGGATGTTTTTCTGTAAATACATACCCAGTCATTTATCATTCATAACGATTATATTTATAACATGTAAGTAATTGTAGTGTTGTTGGACTGGGTGTAGTAGGATTACACCTACAATTTACTCCATAAAGTTCACGTTCAAGACCAAACAGGAACAAATAGCGAAAGACTTCATCAAGCCGACACCTGCAATTACAAATTAACTTTGATTGCAACAGTATGGAAAAGGTAGATACTTTTCTTTGTCAACATAACTTTTATTACATGTGATAGGGTGTGTTTCCTTATCTCGTTCCTCACTGCAAAGCAGAAAAGCTTAGGCTGACTAACTCATTCCTGTGACGTTGGCTTTTAGATAGGGAATCCCTTGTTAATTAACCCTAGCTATGGTAAATAAACCAAAAAGCTAAGGGTGATTTAGCGAAGAGATACATTGTAATGCACTTGCACACTCTCTGATAGTCTATAAATCGCATAATAATTGTATTTGACTGTGCGACTGTAATCTTCTCATTCTGTTTTTAGTGGAAGTTCATCCAAAAGTGACATTTTATGAGTCAACCCCTGGCTTCTTATAGGCCCATTCACATTAGGCTGTGTTGTGGCAAAGCATGTTGCAAAATGCGCTGCCGTACCACAGCTTATTCATTTTTCATGAGCCCCAAAGAGGAGAAATTGCTACTGCTCTTCTTTTTTTTTCACTGCAGTACATAATAGTACATTGTGGTCCATTCCAGTGCGATGTAGTACAAATGCTCTTTGTAGCACGCTCTATAGATGCACTGGGGCTCTATTAAAAATAAATAGCATTACATGGCGGTGGTGTCAACAGGCACTATGTATCTTTGATTCCCCAGCAGCAAGATCTGCTAGAATTCCCAACACTGTTCCGGTCCACTTTGCAAATTTGGCTGTTCCCACCTACAATTGTGTTTTCCAGCTCCTCCTGTTGCATAGTTACATAGTTACATAGTATTTGAGGTTGAATAAAGACATTAGTCCATCAAGTCCAACCTAAACTTGCATTCTGTATAACATAACAAAATAAATAGAAATCCAACATTTGAAGTAAAAAGATCCTGGTGACGGACAGTCAGTAGAAAGTTTCCATGTCACACAGGGGGGTGACATGGATTCCCAAAGTAGGACCCCATCTCCTATGCATGGAAGAAGAGAATAGGCTTGGGACCTAAACATCACATGATCATGGATTTTGGTGAGTAAAGGGGGCATTTAGGTACTGACCAAATACAAAAACCGAGTGCTTGATAGAATGCGAAGTGTTGTCCACGTTTATCACCAATGAGCCTTGCAGTATACTTGCGTGCCAGTTAGATTTATTTATGGTTCTACCATAATGGATATATGCAAAGCCCATTCAGTTGAATGCATTTCTTAAAACATGCTATTTACATTTTTATCTCAATGATCAATCAGTTGCATAAGGGATTTTAGGTACTACAGTGTATCCACAGTTTTATTATTAATAGGTTTCCTGGGAGCTGATATAATTTTGGCAGATTTTAGTGTTAGTTTTGCAATTTTTAATGCTGACGTGCAATTATGCTGCCAAGCAGTTACTATCCAGACCTTTTTTTCACATAAATCTGCTGTTTCTGCAGTTTTCAATTTAGACTACTGATTGAAGCAGTGTCTAAATAGGATGGCACTGAGCTCCCAGTACTGAAACCCATCATATATATGGGGACTTGCTTATTGCAATTACTGTGTGGGACATTTATCAATTCTTTTGCACAGCTAGACAATGCTAAGCCGATGGAGTGAGACAGATTTGAGACTGATTTATCATACTTGAACAGCTTCATTGATAAATTCCTCCTAAGCAGCGCCAAAATAGCACTGGTACAGAATAAAACCTGACCCTGATCACTTCCTTTTTCTGCATTTGTTTTGCATCTCGATGCAAGTCTGTCTGATCTCCAGTGTTAAATCTGTCATAGGCCTGTACAAATTAGGCGCAAGAGTGCACATTGCACTCTTTTCCACACTGCCTAATAAAATAAGCCTAAAAGTATCTTTTTCTTTTCATTGGCATATGTAGATATTGATGTTTTGATGACCTACAGTGGTTTTATTTTAGCATATGAATAACTAGAAGTCAGCATATCTTGGATAATTGTCACATTGTATTCTATGTACTCTGTACTTGGTATTATCTGTTCTTTCTTCTTTTTTTTTTTATTGTTTTTAAATTTGATTATTGATAAGTATTTTGTTCATTTATTACCAAATTAACCAATCACTAAATTGTCCAACTCACATGCAGCATATTACACTTCTCATACAAGCAGGCAGTGTCATAAAGGAATGCTTCCTGCTTGTATGGGTAGTTCTAAAGCTTGCTCAAAACCCGATGGCGCTTCCTTAATGATCTGTGTTAAACATCCCCAAACTGAAGCCAAAGGGTGCTTTTATAGGCTTCAGAAAAGCTGCTTAAAGCTGGCTAAAAACTTTTTCCAGTTTCTTGTAAAAGCTGTATGTACACTATGCTCTTATACAAGTTGAAGCCTATAAGATTTAAAGGAGAACCTGAATAGAGAAACACATTATCAACAAACCTTTACAATTAGATTCATGTCTACTTGATAATTGCCTTGATAACAGCTTCAAAATTCAGATTGTTCTCAGCACTTAGTTTCCAGCTGCTAATTACTAATCACCAGTATTGATTTTGTGTGTATCTGCTTTTTCTAAGTTATCAAGTTTTTTATATTTGAGTCCTACACTTGGAGAACACCAGCATTTTACTGAACATGCTCTGTAGTCCATAGGTTACCAGAAGCTGGTATCGTATGTGAATTGTTAGCTTTTCTGCTAAGCAGTGTATTGTGAACACAAAATGCAAGCACTAGGCTTTTTAATTTTGGAATATTTTGTTTTGCAAAGGTCTTTGCCATTTTTTATGGCTGTGTTCACACGTGTGCTTTTCAATGTGTTTCTGTTGCACTGTAGAGTGGCAAACTTGAATGCCTCCACATATGCTTTGCAGTATCGACATGGTGAAGATCACATCTACTTTACACACAGGGTGATTTAAAGCTGACCTGTGGTGCTCAACTAAGATAGTGATAATATGTTACTGTCGCTGTCAAGTGAATTTAGGGAATGGCAATTGGGCAGGGAGAATTTATTAGCATCTCCGATTCAACATTACTCCTCCTTTTGACAATGGTCCTGTGACCAGTTACTAAAGGGCACAAAGAATGAATAGTACCGGTTCATGGTGACGCAAACCTGTGCCACGGTTTAAATCCACCATTTATTAATTGTTAAACATTTTTGAAACGTATTATTGCCATTCTAATGATACAAAATCCACTTCCAGGCTGCTCTGCTCCATACTCCACTGACATGGCAATGTGTACAATGCCTGGCACGGCCTGTCCAGGAGATAGCTTACTGGGCAGTACACAGGACAAATTGCACTATCCACCATATCATCTAGGGGAGAGGCTAAGGAAGGTGGCTTTGCTAGAAATGCAAAACAAAATCACTATTTGCATGTATTACCATTACCAGGGCTTGAAAAATATTAGGGTGTCTCACCAGTCAGTCAAAAATGTCACCAGTCAGCATGACCGCACTATGGCCTTGCAATTTATGTTAACATTTTTTGGGGACAGATAGAGCTTTCTTTTGGAGGTATATAATCACCTCGGGGGTTATTTTTCTTACTATATAATGAAAAAAGTACCGTAAATGTAAAAGAAAAAAACATTTCTCTACACTATGTTATAAAACATTTATACCCATATTTTTGGTAAAACATAAAAGCCGGGGTCACGTCTGGTAAATAGACACCAAACATATCAAGCCTTAAAATTGCATGCGCCCGCAAAATGGCAAAAAACGCCCATAGGCGACGCTTAAAATGCTTTTACTGCTCAGTGTTATCAGTGATTGATGGCCCTAAAAATTATTGCTCTCACTCCCACGTTTGCGGTGATATGTAAAATGTGCGGCACAATAGGCGTTTTCGCACGTAGGCGCACCCGACGCATATCTGAGTGTGTATGTGGGGGGTGGGGGGACTTAAAAAATTGTTTTCTTTCTTAATTTTTTTATGCTTTATTTTTTTTATGATTCTTTAATTTTTTTAGCGGGCACAGCGGATCTCGGGAACGGCAGCGGCAGTGACAGCTGCTGATACAAGCGATCGAGCGTCTAGAGAGACGCTCGATCGCTTGAATGTAAAGCTTCCGGCCGTGTAATTACAACGGCCGGCCGTTAAGCTGCTCGTCAGGCTCCACCGTCCACTCATCGTGGACGAGTGGATTTTTCAAGCCCTGACCATTACCATTATGGCCATAGTTGCATATCAGTCATATAAGGCATGTTCCTTTTAATATCACCTCCTCGATCTATACTTTCCTGTTGATATCAAGCCTACTCCACATAAGCCATGGTTCCCATGCACTGCACTGACTGTGGTTGATAGTGATGAGCCTGGGATGATACGAAACCCAGTTTGTCTGAGTTCACCCAAGTTCGTTCAAGCACATTCAAAATTGTGACTACCACCCCCTCCTCCTCACCCAATCAGTTGGACAGAGGTGCATTGCCTTGCCTGCAGCTATATGTCTCGAAGGGTTGGGGAATGCCCCTGCCGCAACTGCTTTATGAAGTTCAAGACAATATTAGGTGGTATTTGTACACCTTCGGTTTTGCATACACAGTTGACACAAGGGTACAAAGAAACAAGCAAAAAACTGAACTATATTGTTTCTATGTTTTCTGCAGGACATATCTAGAAGAGGAGTTGACAAAAGCTCGTGGAAAGCCAAAGCTAAGAAAGGATATGTATAAGAAAATGATTGAAGTGGATTCTCATGCCCCCACAGAAGAGGAAAAAGCCCAGCAAGGTGTTACCAAACCCAGATACATGCAGTGGAGAGAGACTATCAGCTCAACGTCCACCTTGGGCTTTCGGATTGAAGGAATAAAGGTCAGACTGTTCTAAAAACACAACTGTATTTATTTGCCTCATTTTTTTTAATAGGGCTCACTTGTGCTTAACTACATCACACATTTATAGATCATACAGTACTTCCCTGAAGAAAAGAAGTTAGCAGAAGGCACTTTTTTCCTCAGATAAAGGGTCCTTGGAGCCCCAGGGATATTGTTTCTTTTCTCTGTGATTTCAGGCAAATAGCTAAATACATGGTTTAAATTAGGGATGCACCGATACCGATAATAGTATCAGTGCCGATACAGAGTATTTGGGCGAGTATTCGTACTCGCCCAAATGCTCCGATACCTTCCCCAATACCGGAACTTCCGGTCAGAGGAAAATTTCCTCTTACCGGCAGTGCCATAAGGAAATAGGGAGGCGGGAACTCTCCGCCCGGCTTCCTGATTGGCTGGGAAGCCGGCTTTATGCTGATTGGCTGGGAAGCCGGCTCCATAGCAGCGGCATTGGTACTTGGTATCGGCGAGTACCAAAAGGAAAATATCGGTACTCGTACGCCATACTGAAAAGCCTGTATCGGTGCATCCCTACTTTTAAATATACAGTATATACCTTATTTGCAAGATTGACTGTACAGAACCAAACCTTCAGCAAGCAACGCAGTGAACATACTGTAAATGCAGTTCAACTGCGTATTTACCTTTTGCTCCGAGTTCCGTGTAGTATAGATGTATGTATACTGTGGCAGCAGGCAGAGGAAAATGTCTGAGTCTAGCCAAGATGGCAGAACAAAATACTTATCAGATATAATACTAAAGTTCTTCCTCTAGGGGAAGTTCTGAGAGGGCTGGAGGCTTGGAGGTAACAAGCCCAGCTGAAGCAAGCTGGCTTGTTAGGGCCTCTACAAGAACTCCCAGCCTCTTAAGAAAGGGGTCCCACCCTAGAACCAGACTGTGTCTAGTGGACTGGGGAGCAGATCCCCTGTGTGGTGAAGAGAAGCCTGTGTGGCAAGTGTGTGGATACAGCCTGTGAGGGAAATGTTTTGTTAAAGAGAACTTGAAGTTTGTGAGATGGTAAAAAGGTTATGTTGCTGAAGGAAAACGTTGAACTTTGTGTTTAACCTGTTGGAGAAGCCCCTGTGAGGGAAAACTTATGTGAATGTTTAAAATAAAGTAGGCAGGAAGCCCTAAAAAGAAGTTGTTTACTGGTGGAAGTGTCCTGAATGTGCTACCCTTTGAAGCTAATTCTCACAATATGGATAAATGGCATGAATGAACATTATCATTTAGGAGATCACTTATCCAAAGTAAATTTTGACTAGACAGTTACTGAATTATCACCATGGCTGCTGTCTCCCAGTAAATTATATAGTTCATGTCTTCACTATAGGATATTTATTATATAATTCCTTGTCTTATATGATGCTCTCCGTGCATTGTAGGTTGTCGATCTATATGGAGATCAGTTCAGAAGGAATTGTAGCAACACCATATTGATTAAAAACTTCTAGAGTGAGTAGAACTGACCAGTGCCTATACGTTTTGGTAGGCCATCAGTATTTCAAATGTCTAGCTTTTTATATATCTCTAAGATTCTTGTGATGAGACTTTACCCACAGTCCAACAAGACCATTAATAGGTATTTTCTCAAAGCTAGCTCTCTGAGTTACTTTTTGAATCATTGTCTCTTTTACATTTTTGACAGTTTTTAGTTGAAACTACTATTGGTCATTATAATGGCCAAAGCTATTTGAAAAAATTCTAGTGCAGATACCTTGCCACTGCTGTGAAAGATACTGTATAGCTCGCGGTATACTGAGCTTAGGGTGACGGGAGGACGCTAGTTTGTGTCCTCCCGTTACCCTAAGGAGAACTATGGGGAAAAGCCCTAACCCCATAGTTCTCCTTTAACTATTAACAAAAATTTATCTTATTGTGTATCACTTGGTTGTAGATCCTCAAATCATTTCTGAATTCATGTTGACACTGTCCTTCCTTTTGGAGGGTGGCTACTTTTGTTCTCCATGGTCCCAGTGTGTGTTGTAAAGTAGCCCTGCTCCATGCTTGCTCCCGTGATCGACTACAATCTCAATACAAATTAGTAAACTAAACATGAGATTGTAGTCTATCACAGGAGCGAGCTTGGAGTGGTGGCTACTTTACAACACACACAGGGACCATGGGGAACAAAAGTAGTCATCCTCCAGAAGGAAGGACAGTGTCAGCACCAATTCAGAGATGATTTGAGGATCTACATCCGAGTGATACACAATGTTGTTAATATCTAAGGAACCTGATTGCTTTTTTTAAGGTTAAATTCCTGAGTTGAGTGTCACTTTAAGATGTAGAAGTGTTTGCCTTTGATTTGCTGCTTATTATAGGCTGAGACATTTTGGATTACACTTACACTTATCATATGTGGGCCACAGGAATAACACTATTGGTTATCTGCATTTTGTATCTGCTATTGCTGTTTCTGTTGAGCTTTTACTTCTTATTACTATCTTGTCTGAAAATGGCAAATTCAATTTTAGGTTTATTGGTATTTTAAAAGGTCAGCCAAGTCAAAGCTAATGTCAACTTATGGGTTTCGTATAGTGGTCCGAATCCATCTGCTAGCTTTGTATATCTGTATGCCACACTGCAAAGCATACAACATCCCTTTTTCCTGTTTTGCTTTGAAATTATGATGTGTAACAATACTGGCCAGTAGGACTGTGTGGGAGGTGTGATCCAGCCTTGAGGTAATCAGGAAGTATCAAATGTAGCATGTTAAAGCAGTTGGAAGTATTTTGTTATCTTTTCACAAAGTGCAATAAAATGTCATGTTGATCCCGCCAGAAATCTTGTGAGTGAATAACTTCCTGTGTGCAAGGTAGGGTTATGGCGGTAAAGGCAGGGGTGATGAGGGGTGGTCTGTGTCCTTTGTAATCAAACAGAAATTAAGTAGATAGGTCGGTATCCCTAGTAATGCATCAGAAACTAAGTAGGCAGGAATGGTGGGTGGTCTGTGTCCTTGTTAAACCATCAGAAAGGAAGTTGGAAGAAATGGGGGGAGGTCTGTTTCCCTGATAATCCATCAAAAATTAAGTAGGCTAGAATGGAGGGATGTCTTATAGAATTTATTTAAAGGAGAACTATGAGGTGAGTGCTTTTCACTCACCTCATAGTTCTAGCCGACCTGTGACAATGAGACTGTCACAGGTCGACTCAGTAGATCGGAAGGTGAGCAAACACATACCGGCGTTCGCTCACCTCTCGATCCTGTCACGGCTCTCTGCCGTGACAGGGGAGGGGCTGGTTTCCCTCCGATCCGCCAGCGCTGACTGGCGGAACGGAGGGGGCGAGTACAGCTGGCTCTGCCTCTAGATAGGCAGAGCCAGCTGTCAGTCACGCAGCTTGGCGGATCCCGGCATAATTGTCGGGATCCGCTTCAGCTGCGGCGTCTCAGTATACTGCAAGCAGCAGCTCGCGGTATACCGAGGCATCTCATTATACTGCGTGCTACAGCTCGCGGTATACTGCGGCGTCTCAGTATACCGCGAGCTACAGCTCACGGTATACTGAGCGTAGGGTGACGGGAGGACGCTAGTTTGTGTCCTCCCGTTACCCTAAGGAGAACTATGGGGAAAAGCCTTAACCCCATAGTTCTCCTTTTTAAAAAAAATGCAGGGAGGTCTGTGTCCTTTGTAATGAATTAGAAATGAAGTTGGCTGGGCTGACAACATGCTTAGGATTTCAGAGCTCAAAAGACACGGTTGCCTGCTCACATAGGAAGATAGAAGCGCACTATATTTTTGGCACATTTTGCATGGACTGAAGTTGATTAGTCACCTGAGCTGCATCTAAAGATGTGTCAAGTCCAGCAGTATCACAGTCTCTGTAAGGTCAGGGTACATCTTTTGTCTCGGCATATTTGCCTTTCACCCAAAGTGCTATATAGTCTGAAATACAGAGAATGTAAAATTTCTCTGAAAGCTGTTTTTCTTCTTTTTTTTTTTCTGCAGAAAGGTGATGGAACATGCAACACAAACTTCAAGACAACAAAATCAAGAGACCAGCTTCAAAAAGCTTTTCTTGAGTTTATTGACGGCAACAAAGTTATACTGGTATGTTACCTTGTTAAAAAGTGTAAAAGAAAAATGTGTTTAACTTGTCTTGTTTTTGTTGTTATTGTAACAATTACTTAACCACTTGCCGTCCGACCGTTGTAAAAAAACGGACGGACGGCACTGCTGCATCGGCGGGTTGAATATGCTCTCTTTTCCCCCCCCCCCCCCCCCCGACACCTCACCTGCAATCCCGGGATCCGCTGCCCCATCTGCGGCCCGGGACCGGTTCGGAGGGCGTCAGGAGGAAGTGGGAGAGAGATCCGCTCCTTGCTGTCTCCCTCCGGGCTGTGGATGCAGAAGTGATGTGTATTACATCACTTCCGCATTCACCTGTCAGTCATCTGGCTGCTATAGCCAGAGAAAAGAAGCTGATGAAGCAGATCTCTGCTTCATCAGCTTCTTTTGGGGTCAACAGGTGACATTAGGGGTCCTAGAGACTAGGGCTGCAACAACTAATCGACATAATCGATTATATTGTGCTGTATAATGTGCTTTTGCTGGGGTTTGTAGTCCTCTATAGCCGATGCCATTCTGCATGCATTGCTGTATAATTTTACACTTTCCATTTCACTATATTGCACACCACACTATCTTTTTTTCTTTTTTACTTCCACCGGTCCAAGCTTGCTCTTGTGATGGACTACAACCTCAATACAAACTAGTAGTCCCATCACTGGAGCCATTTTTTAAACTTTATTTTATAGTTTATCCGATTGACCGATTAATCGAACTTAATAATCGGCTAACTAATCGATTTTGAAAATAATCGTTAGCTGCAGCTCTACTAGAGACCCCTAATGTCTCCATAAACAAATGCAGCCACCACATCTTCGGCTGGTAAGCTGCAGATATATATTTTTTTGTTTTTGGGCTTGGATACACTTTAAGTCCAATACTCCAGCAAGGCAAATTGTGTGATCCACAATCCAAGAATGTGAAAAAAAATGGAAGCTGCTGAATCTCAACTGAGGTAAACAGTATCATCAGAATGTCATTTATTAACCACACAAAAAACATCTACAGATGGTTTCCCTGTTTGCACATGCCTGATGAAAAAAATGGCTTGTACTAAAACATTCATCCAGGAGTTTGAAAATCAAATTTTGCAAATATCAGCTTGATCCAAAACAGGGCTTAGGTTTGGTCCTGCAAAAAAAACAAACCCCTTCAAAGTAATAACAAAGGTGGGCTTGGTCAAAGAATAGATGGTGTCAGCAGTAATAATCCTTAAGAAAGGTGAATGGACAACTTAGAAAAGTTGATGTAACTTCGGAAAAAAATGCATCAGTCTTAAAGGATAAGTTCACCTTTTGCATCACCTTTTGCAAAAATGCATAATTAATCATATATAAAAAAAATATGCATTTCTTTAATATTTGCGTTAAAGCCTGGAAAGCATTGCAACGGTGATCACTGGATCACAGCTGCAAAGCTCAGGCTTCTGCTCATTTTCAAACTGTCAGAGCTCATACGAAGGTACAGAGTTTCAGTTGGGAGAGATGGGGGGAAGGATTGCTGGACTTCAAACTGCATTAAATCACCTCATACGGTGTCCAGCTGTCCTCCCTCTAGGTAGATGCGAAAATATGGGCAGATCTGCCTAGAGTGAGGACGGCTGGACGATGTATGAGGTGATTTAATGAGCTCTGCCAGTTTGAAAAAGTAAAGAAGCCTGAGCTTTGCAGCTGTGATCAAGTTATCACAATTGCAATGCTTTCCAGGCTTGAATGCAAATATTAAAGAAATGCATTTTTCTCTTCCTTTCATTGAAGGACACAGGGAACAGATCGGAGATCATGTACTGTAGGGTAATATCGCCACCTGCAGGAGAAGGACGCTAGGCACAAAACTAAAGACCAATTACAGCCTAGGGGTGGCCCCTGATGGTGACCAAACCCCCCACCTGCTGACAAGTCTCCAGTTTTTTTGCCTAGCGTCAGGAGTAAGGAGCTAAGAATTTTTTCTCTGGTATTCTTACCTGCTTCTTCCTGATATTTTTCAGAAGAATCTTCTAGCGTGTGTTGTCAGGGTGACAGGCTGTATGTCTCGGGTCCTTGGAGTCTCCCCTGGACGACCGACGAACGCATGCAGACCCGCCACGGTGGGTCGGCTGCGACGGCCCCGCTCCGGCGGGGTTGCCTGTGGGTTCGTCCCAGGGGGGTGCATATGACTGGGGGTCTCGAACCGCCCAGTCACAGCACTCCCCACAGGCTACTGGCGCCATGACTGCGGTCGGGGGCGCCAGTTTCCGCAGCGTCTGGGCTTCGAGGTCCCCTGCGCAGCTGTCCGGCCTGGATGGAGGTGCCTGGACTGCGGATGGCCCACATTCTCCTGCGGTATTTATGGCCCGGCATGTGGTATGGGTCGATGGGGACCAGGATCTGCCTGGTCTCCCTTTGGCTTTCCTGCCCCCCTTTCCCCTCATCCCCCACCGTCATCTTTCTGGGGGCGCGTTGGGGTGTTGTGGCCCTGTGGGGACTTGACTGGTTCCTGGCCGGCCTGCGGGAGCAGCTGTGGCTCCCTGGGGATGTTTTTTGCCGCGCTGGGGCTTGTGCCCCTTTGTGCATGATACCCGCTCTTTTCCGGCCACGTGTGCGCGGGGGCCGCTAATCGAGCCCACGGCTTCGTTTGCGGCCTTCTCCGGAGGCCGCCATGTTTGGTGTGGGCGCGGATGCCCTCTTCCTGACGTCACTTCCGGTGCGCCGATTCCCGTTCCTTGTAATAGCGCGTCAGCCGGCCGGATCGGTCTTTCTCGCCGGGATGCGGTCAAGTGAGGACGCACCGGGAGTCAGGTGCTGTAGGAAGGTTGTCTGCCTGCGGGAGGACAGTTGCTGGCGACAACCGCGGTGGGGGCTGTGCCTGCTGGGGACTCCCTAATTGCCTGTGGCTCTATATTGGGAGTGTTTGACGGGGCATGGACTGTGTGGACGGACTGGCCACAGTGCCCTGTGTGGGCTGCAGCCTCTCTTCAGGGACCTCTCCCACGTCGTAGCCTGTGCTTCTGCGCCCCTTTCCCCTTTCTTTGGGTGGGGGGTCCGCTGGCGCAGTGTTATCATTGGAGGTTTTTTCCTCCACTATGGACAGTTTTTTGTCCCGTATTGAGCGGGCGCGCCTTGCCGGCCCCCTCCCCGGTCCTTTCTGGGGATTCGGAGGAAGAGGGGGAAATTTCTGCTGCGGCCTTGGAGCCCGACCAGGGGGATTCCTCCCAGGCGGAATCTGGTAGTGACGACGAGTCAGGGGCCTCCCTTATGGTCCAGGAGCACGAATTGGTTGCGGCCTTGGTTCACGCTGTGCGGGAAACGCTTACGATTGAGGAGACCCCCGAGCTCTTCGGCAATCCCGGTGGTTCTGTTTGGGACGCACAGGAGTAGGCGTTCCACTAAGGCTTTTCCTTACGTTCCTTTTTTTTATGACTTTGTCTACAAGGAGTGGTATCGTCCGAGCAAGTCGTTTTCCGTTCCCAAGCGTTTCTCGGTCCGCTATCCGTTCGAGGAGTCCTTCCTATCTAAGTGGTCCACCCCTGCCTCAGTCAAAAAAGCCTATGGGCCAGCGGCGGAAACCCGGGCCTTCTTTTTCCGCTCACAAGCGGCTTTTTCGTCCGCCTCCGCCCTCTGAGAAGGGTGGGAAGTTCAGCAAGCCGCCGCCTTCCCAGGCCACCAATCGGTCCTGGCAGCCCAGGGTAAGCCCCCCTCGGCATGAAGGCCTGTCCCCATTCCGGGGTGGGGGGACGTCTTCGGCTCTTTGCGGGCCGCTGGCTGTCCCACGTCTCCGACACCTGGGTGCTGGAATTGGTGTCTTCGGGCTACAAAATCGAGTTTCTGTCGAGTCCCGGGGACGCTTTGCTCGCATGTGTAGCTGTTGCAGGCGCGTCAGTGGTCGACGATCCGCTTTTGCATGCAGGTTCTGGACCTCATGGTGGCTTCCTTCGAAGCAGTGCCTTACGCGCAGCATCACGCGCGGGTTCTGCAGAGGAATCGGATTCAGGAATCGGATTCCCTGTTTGTCGTTGCAGATGGCCCTCGGAAGGGCCGGCTGCCTTGTCCACCACCATCTCTCCATGGATTCGCAACACGGTCTCTCAGGCGTATATGCTATTAAGGGGCGTGAGACTTCTTTTTTCTGTTACGGCCCATTCTACAAGGGCTGTTGGGGCACCTTTGGCTTTTCGTCATGGTACCTCCGTTTCTCAGGTCTGTAAGGCCGCGACTTGGTCTTCTGTTCACACCTTTGCCAAGTTCTATAAGGTGGATGTTTTGGCATCTGCGGATGCTGGTTTGGGGCGCAAAGTGTTGCAGGCGGTCGTTTGAGGGGATATTTTGTTCAGGTCGGCTTGTTGTTTCCGTTGGCCCACCCCTATTTTTGGTACTGCTCTGTGACGTCCCTACAGTACATGATCTCCGATCTGTTCCCTGTGTCCTTCAATGAACGGAAGAGAAAATAGGATTTTGGTACTCCCCGTAAAATCCTTTTCTCTCCGTTCATTGAAGGGCACAGGTCCCGCCCCTCTGTGTGGGTGTGTACTCCTAACTGCTTGGTACTAACTGGAGACTTGTCAGCAGGTGGGGGGTTTGGCCACCAGCAGGGGCCACCCCTAGGCTGTAATTGGTCTTTAGTTTTGTGCCTAGCGTCCTTCTCCTGCAGGTGGCGATATTACCCTACAGTACATGATCTCCGATCTGTTCCCTGTGTCCTTCAATGAACGGAGAGAAAAGGATTTTACGGTGAGTACCAAAATCCTATTTTTTTTATATATGATTAATTAGGCATTTCTTTAGTTTTTGCAAAAGGTGAACTTTTCCTTTAAACTCCAGGGAAATTAAAAGTCTTCCCTTGCAGTGGGGCTACTCCCTGCACTGCAATGGCTAACTGTTTATGCCTAGGGGACAGGAAAAGCCACATTACTTACCCGATCCCCACTCACCCAAAAGCCAGTGCTCTCATTTCTCCCAGTTTGCACTGGCTGTGAACTTCCGCTTGGTGTTCTCATGTACAATGCATAGCTATGGAGCCTGCAATGTACTTGATGATGTCAGCAGTCCTTAGGCCACTGGAGCAAAGGGGAGAAGAGGCTGTGGGGACCGGTCTAGCAGCCGGTGGGAGCAGGGATTAGGTAAGTAAACCAGTTTTTCCTGTCCCCTAGGCATAAACCAGCAGTTAAACTTTGCAGTGCGGAGGGCATACCCACTACAAGAGAACTTTTACATTCCCTGGAGTTGGCTTTAATGGCAATTACGTTGAATATGCATTTTGGCACAGGTTCCCAATAAATGCTGTTGCTTTTCCATTCCATAAAATCATACAACTTTTAAAGCTCCCATTGTATGTCTGTTATTGCAAGAGTCCACCTACTTTTGATAGAATACAGAAAAGACCTATAATGGGGCAGAGACAACAAGGTTGATTTACTAATGAAGTAGAGTGCTTTGCAAAGTGAGTTTTCCCTTAGCTTAGTGAATGTGGTGGAAATATACTTTACAAAGAATACCCAATCACGTGCAAGAAAAAATGTTAACCACTGTTTGAAGTCAGCACAACTTTGCCAGATTCAGTGACAATCCCTTTGCACAGTGAATAGCCTATACATCTTTAGTAAATTGACTCCAATATCCCAGTCCAGGAAGATGCTTATTTTTCTGTACCACTGTAGGAGCATCCAGTCAACTGGGCATCTGTGCAGTTGAGAAAAGTTAGGTTTTTGTGACTTAAAGAGTAACTCCATCTTTCTGGCCATGTTTCATGTTACACCGATATTTAGGGTGCAACATGAAACATGGTCACATTCCCATCTCCCAAACGCCCCCCTCTTGCCTGAATCCTGCGATTGCTCTCCCCACAGCATTAGGCATCTGTTAAAACCAGCGGAGACCCACAGCCGTGCCATCCATTCACAGATCCTTTCACAGAATCTGTAAATTGAGAGATTACACGACTCGTCTGATTGGGTTGCAGTTTGTACATCATTGTTGCTCTTGATTCTGCTTTAGAGAAAAAAGTAAAATGTGGCTGTAATATGAATTTTTGTTTTTGGCAGCTTAAATATTTGAACCGACTGCAGGAGATCAGAGAAGTGGTAGAGTCTTCAGATTTCTTCAAGCACCATGAGGTGAGGGGCATCAGCTTTTCCTTGCTTTTATTTATTTTGTATATTTCTGCGAAGTTTAGTTATTGGGACAAATGTTTTCTAAGAAACATAACTAAAATACACTGAAAAAAAATGCTTTTACTTTATTATTAACTTGTGGACCATTGCCAAAATGGAACATTTAGGTGTATCTAAAACCCAACTGTTTTTGGTGAGGTTTCTGTCAGGTTTTGCTTGCTATCTGTGTCCCTGTAAGCAAGATTTACTATATTTGTCCTGGTGACCAGTGTCACCAAAAATGAAAGTGAAAGAAAATCCAACATTTTGAGTTGTCACAAGAAAAGGGTGTTGACCCTTGCTTTGATGACAACTATTGAAGAGTGGATTTCCTCTTTTGTTGTTATAAATCCCCCCCCCCACCACACACATATCCCCGCCTGGTTACATCAGCCACAGCATCACCCCATCACTACAGTGCCGATGTTGGCGAAGGACTGTCAGAGGTGCAGTAGAAAAGCTGTACTATCCGGGAAACTAAAAGGACTTTTTTTTGTTTTTGTTTTTTTTGTATTCAATATTTATATCAAAGGTAAAACAAACATGACAACAAAATATCAACGATCGTTTTTTGTTAGTTTGGAAACCACATAGATTAACTAGTTCATCATAATAACAAATAAAATTGCATAAGGTAATTTGAGCAAAAAGGACTCTTTTAAAAAAAAAATCAAACATTAACTTACTAGATGTTAGAGGTAAACACTAATACCTCTACAACTATTGATAGCATTATGCCCTGAGTTAAGCTTGAAGAATTTGCACCTAAAAATAATAAAGCATTACTGATAAAGGCCATATATGCAAGTGATCAGTTTTTGGTTAAAATAAATGAAATGTACTCTATGAGGCTGATTTATAACAGAGTGTGTACAGGTGAAACTCGAATAATTAGAATATTGTGCAAAAGTAATTGCAGTAAGTGCTGCAAAAGGGGCCCAAACCAAGTACTGAGTACATATGCATGCTTATACTTTTCAGAGGTCCGATGTTGTTCTATGTACAATCCTTGTTTTATTGATTGCATGTAATAATCTACTTTTTGAGGTTGTGGATTTGGGGTTCTTGGGGTTTTCATGAGCTGTAAGCCATGATCATCACAATTATGACAAATCACGGCTTGGATTATCTTGCTTTGCATGTAATGAGTCTATCTCATATATTAGTTTCACCTTTTAAGTTGCATTAGTGAAATAAATGAACTTTGCACGGTATTCTAATTATTCGAGTTTCACCTGTATATCGCCATTCAGTCTCAGTTATACTCCACTGGATTGCAAAGTGCGCATGTGTGTGTCTGTGTACATTTAGAAGAAACATTGCTGGCAGGCAGAAGAGGAGCTTTTATTATATAGACATATTATATAGACATACAGTCCCTTCTGCAATACAAACCTACCTACTAACACATTTTTAATAGTCAGGCTATAGTTCCACTTTAAGGATAATTTTCTTCTTTAGTTCTGTTACTAATACCAAAATCGTTTTAGCTGCATTTTACAGCATAACTAGTCGTTGTTCAGCTGTGTGAATGGAACCACTTCCTGTTAGTTTACTAAGCTCTTTTACCTACAGCTATGTATATGTTCTCAGTTAATATTTCTACTAATGAATAGACATTTTTTGTTAGGTGATTGGAAGCTCTTTGCTGTTTGTACATGACAAGAAAGGAAAGTGTAACGTATGGCTTATTGATTTTGGAAAAACAACACTCCTGCCTGAAGAGCAAACCCTAAATCATCGTATAACCTGGCAAGAAGGAAACCGGGAAGATGGATATCTTTATGGATTTGACAATTTAATTGATATTTTGTCGAGCCTCGCCTCCTGATTAAGAGAAAGCAACTAAGCACCCAATCACTACATTAGGATTTTAATGACGTTTTGCTGTTTACTGGGATGGATTTTATCTCTGGAGAGTGATATACAGATGTTTTTAACTTGGGGAAAAACAATGCTTACAATACATAGCTTCTCCCTACACTCTTTTTACTGCAGATTAATGGACATGTTTTATACCCAATGACTCCTGGATCCTCTCTTCAAGATAATTTGCACCAAGACTAAAATTAACTATTTCTATGATGAAACACATTTTTAATTATGGGATTTTTCCAATGTTGCCTTTACTTAACTTAGATAATTTATAGTTTTACTAGTATATTACCTTGCAGTCAAGATTACTACTTTAATACTGTTCAGAGTGTATTTTTATCAATTTTACTACTAGAGGTCCTACTCTGCATGTGTGCTTAATTTTCTGGCTGGGAGCATTAGTGTTTTATCCTGTCAGATGAGCCTGTTTGTTAACCCTGGTACATTTTTAAGCTGTATGTTTGATGGTTACAATTACATTTTACAATGCATTGCAGTTTTTGATGGAGTAGGAGCATTGCTCTTTGTTTAAAAAAAAAGTAAAATCAGTTAAGATGGCTGTACACTGGTCAAGAAAGACACCATCTTTCTTTATTAAATTCTCCTAATCCAAACTGCAGCAGACTGTGCAATCTCTAGCGACCTGGGGGCAATTAAAGAAATCAAATCAAGGCTCCACCATGAAAGTCAGTTTTTTCTTTGCCTGAAATTGTATAGGCACCTATCTGAAAATCACCTCTGTAGCCAGTAGCTCAGCTTATTGAACGTGTGCCCACCTCATCTACACTAAAGTATTGACATATTCAGAACAAACAGTGAAAGCACTTTAAGACAAGTCTTCAATTACCTCTGTATTTATAGGCATTGTGGAGAAATATTCATATTCACAACAGAGGTGCAGAAATCTAAGCTTTTTTTCTATGAGAGCAGATCTTGGCAGGGTGCTAGCCCTCTAATGTAAACAAACAGCAGCTGATTCTAAGCTGTTAGAATCAGACTGAAACCTGTCTCCAGAGTGTTTGTGTATCTTTGAGAATTCATAACTAGCTAGAGAGGTAGTTAAGGGTTTTTTTTTTATGATTTACTGCTTGGAATTCGATAATAGCATATAAAATATGTCCAGAGTCTGGACACAGGTGCACGTTAAAGTCAAACCAGAGTAGTGACGGCAGTGAGTGTGTTCAAGTAAAGGAGCTTAGAAAGCACCCTAAGTGTTTAACAAGACACTGTACTCACACCTCTGTTGCCAATGGATTTGGCTTTTATGGGAGCATTTTTTTGAAAGCATAACAGTAATATGTTATTACTGAACACCTTTTGAACAATTTAGTTGCCTAGCTTACCCTCTGAAGTCAATACAGTATTGCCTTCAAAGGGTCAATACTCTACTCTATTGAATTCAATACGGTATTGAAGGCAATTCAATTCTAATGCCACTCAGTCTCCGTAGGGAGAGAAGCTGCTTCCAGGTATCCCTTGAAGCCACGGCAGACAAATAGTGACAGTAAGCAGCATCACATCTTGCAGATTAGGCTAGAATGGTAAATAAGAGCTGGACAGCTATTCTATTCACTGATTTGAAGACAACTTTTAGTACTTTTTTAAAAAATTTAATTTTATTTATTTTAAAGCAGACTCCGGCCAAAAATCACAGTCTTAGGTTCTAAATCTTATTACCCACATGCATGTCTTACCTTGTTGTTGTAGCTACAATCCTCATCCTCGTGCACAGTTGAATACCATTCCACCTCTTGCAGTCATGGTAATGGTATTCACCCATCCGATAAGTGAATGTGGGAAAAATAGCTGCTGAAGTTCAGTCTCCTTAGCCACCTCTCCTCTGTCACCCTGCTGATTAGACAAAGAAGGAGCAAAAGCACACTCATAAGATTGACTCTGTTCTCTCCACTATTGTAAGCCCCTTCCACATTCTCAGTTAACAACATTGTGCATTGCAGGTGAATCCTGAATGGCTCATAGTGCTGCCTCTCCATCTTTTAGAGTTTAGGTGTGCAGAGGTATTTGAGAAGACAGAATGTAGTTATTCATACTAGCAGTATTTAAAAAATGTAGTAACCAATAAATTAAAGCTTGAACTGGATTACCGGTAATATTTAGCCCAGCGTAAGGTAGACTTAAACCCCATCACTAAAATTTAATATAAACTTTACATTGTTAATGTAATTTGAAAAGTTGATTTCACTATTTTTTAATAGTCAGCATTTCATAAAACGCCTGGTGATCCTGCGATATGAAGGTCCTTGTTTAGGGACTTCCTATTAAAGGGTTACAACTGTTCTCCTGTGCTGTCAAGCACACTCCTGATGGAGACTAGAAGTAACAATGCCCACACACATTGCACAGGCATGGGCTACTCCAGTCACTATCAGAAAGCCGGCACTGAGCAATAATATGCAGCCAAAGCTAAGGTGAAAATATGAAAGGGAGATAACAGTATTTAAAAAATGGCAATTGTTTGATACACAGTGCTTTACCAAAAGGAAAAGTCATTCAGTTAGGGTTTAGGTCTACATTTAAGAGAACTGATCACAAAAGATCGCATGCAAGGATGTAATTTTTCAGTTGTAATTATTATTGTGCAGACTTATGACATATATATATTATAAACCTTATTAAGCTTTGCATAATATGAAACATGACAAATTAGCTTGACTGTCAGAGGTCACCTGAAGTCGCTGCCCTATCATCTACCTGGTCTCAAAACTCCTGGATGTGCATAACAGTGTTAGATAACTGAGCCCCATTTGTAAAAGGAATGTAAACTACTACAAGGTTCTATTATTTGGCACTGTTGTGCATCCTTAGGAGCTGGCAGATGGCTTGTGATGTCAGACAGTTGTCAGACATCAAGATGTACTGACACCTGACAAAGATAGTAAAGCTAAATAAGCCTGCTCAATTATTTTTATTGAAAAGTTCTATTTTACTTATAAGCCCAGTAGTGACTAGTTCTCATTGCATACAAATAGAAAAAAAAACACTGGGGTGTTGCCTACAACAGCCAGCCTGTTGCTTTCTTTAATTATCTAGTTGCTATGGGCAACATCTCCTCTTTTCACTTTCTCCTTTATTGAGCCATCCCTTCTTATGCCTTGTGTTCACAGTGGTAGCTAAGAATAAATTCACTAAATTACTTCTGACTGCAATTACTGACTGTAATACGAGTCAGAAAGCAAAGCTGCCACTGACCTAAAGTGTATTAAACTGGTTCATCCAGGGGTGACTGCATATTACTCTGATAAATTGTTTTCTTGAAGAACTGATGGTCTGTCATTATTCTCTTAATTTCTTTATTTCATGCTTATTTTTGTACCCAAGTATTTTAAATCTTTTATATTCCTCAAGCTTTCAAATTCACAAACCTAAAATTCTGCTCTCCTGGGAGCTTCTTGTAAAGAAACCTTAGCCATAGCACAGCCTAATAGATTATTCTTTAAAGAGTAGAAATCATTTTTTTTTTCACCTATGGTTCTGGGTTAATAGAAGTTGTTACTATTCTGTCGTAAGGCAGTCATGGCTACAATAAATACTCTACACTTAACCATCAGTAAGGTAGCAAGCAATTAGATTATGACTAGGGATGCACAGATACCATTTTTTCCGGACCGAGTATGAATATCGATACTTTTCCTCAAGTACTCGCCAATACCAATTACTAACACTTGTTTTCGTGTCATGTGACAGTTTCTCTAAAACAATACAGACTAATGATTTTAGGACAGTAGTGAAGTGCCAGGGCCCGGACACAGCTGCAAATTGTAGTTCTTCCACTGACCCCAACCTGTAGCTTGCGGTATACTGAGCTTTGGGTGACGGGAGGACGCTAGTTTGTGTCCTCTCGTTACCCTTAGGAGAACTATGGGGAAAAGCCCTAACCCCATAGTTCTCCTTTAAGACCTTACTAATATCAGTGTGTCATTGGCTTCTTGCTGTTCTATGGTACAAGTTTGTACCTCTGCTTTAGCAGCTGGAGAGTACAGTCAGCGGGTAGAGGGACTGAAACCCCAAGCTCTGGGCACCCAGCTCAACTACCAGCTGGGTGGTAACCTTATCTAAACACGCCCCCATCTACAGAGCCAAGGTATATCCCCCAGTTTGGAAATTACGGAACTAGATGAACTTTATATGAACCTTATAGAAAGGTCATGAAAAAGGATGGAGCCCTCAGTCAGCAGTATCAAGCACCACCCAGCTCAACAGAAGTCAATTTCAAAATTGAGGGAACCAGGTAGAAAATTGTTGGCTAAACCATGACTGCATCCTGTCAGATGCAGTCACTGTGCACTGTGTTCAGGCAGCCGTGGGTACCCTCAGCTGTCTGAATACATCACCCGGCAGTGCAGATTCCTCCATTGATGTTGTTTAGCATGGATGGAGGAATCAAGTGATTTCTCTCGTTCAGCTCCATACATGTGTATGGCTAGCCTTACACAACTTTAGATCCTGCAAGATGACTTAATGCCTAACAGAACCTACCCTAGAAATTTGATTGTTTAACTCAGTAAAAATACTTATTGAGCAAATCTTAGCCTTTGTAAAATCTGTGTCTGGGCAGGAAGCTGCAGATGGAACTGTGGCTTTCTTTGTGAGAGAAGCAGGCCTTGGCCTGATTTGTCCCAGTCCTTGATCTGACACATTCCCCTCTGCCTCAAAGCTAAAGCCAGGCTCAGCAGAAATGGGAGCATTTCTGAATCTTTAGCTTTAGCTGCCAGTGGGGGCGCATCTCTCTAATAGATGCACATTTCCCATGTTGCCTCCTTAAAGGAGAACTATGAGGTGAGTGCTTTTCACTCACCTCATAGTTCTTGCCGACCTGTGACAATGAGACTGTCACAGGTCGGCTCAGTAGATCGGGAGGTGAGCGAACACATACCGGG